TTTCATGTTTGGTATGGTTGAGGCAGAAGAGTGGTGAGTCTAAAATCAGACTAAGTCACCTAGATTCTTGCAGGTTTGCAATTTTCTCCTAACCATTTCAGTGATCCCTAATGAGAGGCATCTTGGAGTGGTGGAAAGTAGTGAACTTTGGTGTGGGACCAGAGTTCTCAAGCTGTGCGCATAGGCCAGGCGGGTTAATCTCTCTGACCCTTGATTTCCCCACTGTTGAAATAATAGTGCCTACTTGTACGGTGTGTGTCAACGTCTGTGAAGTGTCTCAGCTGATGGTATATAGCAAATGGCTTTTTCCCTGCACTTTTACTCATAATTTCGATTTGATATCATCTTAATGCTTTTTGCCTTTTTACTTTTTTTTTTTTTTTTTTTTTTTTTTTTTAAGACTGTGACTATTTCCTAGGGATCCTGGGGGAAATCATAAATGTTCTTGGTTTTTAGGATTTCTCTTAAAACCCCCAGTTAGTGAAAGGACTTTTTTCTGTGTATGCCATTTGATCATCTTTTTGGGAATTAGAGTTATAGATTTTTTATTTTCCTTGTGTGTTAGGTATCAGAACATTTCCCCCATGACTCCTTTGGCTATTATAATTCTTGAAAATCTATTTCTAAAATTATTATCTGGAAAAAAGACATTTTCTTCTATCACTTCCTTGCTCTGTTAGTGTAAATGAGCAGAAGTTTATAAGGAAAGCTAGTCACAGAGTATAATTTTAAGATAATCACATTGTAATTTGATCCATGGAATCAAATTTTAGGTCTTTCAAATTCGTTTTCATTTTTTTTTAACATCTTCATTGGAGTATAATTGCTTTACAATGGTGTGTTAGTTTCTGCTTTATAATAAAGTGAATCAGCTATACATATATGTATATCCCAATATCTCCTCCCTCTTGGCGTCTCCCTTCCATGCTCCCTATCCCACCCCTCTAGGTGGTCACAAAGCACCGAGCTGATCTCCCTGTGCTATGCGGCTGCTTCCCGCTAGCTATTTTACATTTGGTAGTACATATAAGTCCATGCCACTCTCTCAACTTTGTTTTCATTTTTGTAGCTTGTTATTTTATTTTATTTTTTGTAGCTTATTCTTAATTGGCATCTTCTGAACTATCAGAATTGTCCTTTTAAATCTCATTGTGCATTATATTTTATTTTTTCATGTGGGTTAAATTTTTAAAATTGTGAATATATGAGAATATATATTGATATAACACGTAAAATTAAAAGGTCATAAAAAAACAACTGTATACTTGTCCCCAGCTTAAGAAATAAAATAGTACCCACCAGTACTTCTGAAGCTTGTATCAGACTGAGTTTTTTCACCGGCTGCTTATGATACTTCCCTACTACTTTAGTTATTTTGGAACTAGATATAGGGCTTCCCTGTTAGCGCAGTTGTTAAGAAGCCACCAGCCAATGCAGGAGACATGGGTTCAAGCCCAGTTCCGGGAAGATCCTACATGCTGCGGAGCAACTAGGCCCAAGCGCCACAAATACTGAGCCTGAGCTCTAGAACCTGTGAGCCACAACTACTGAGCCCGCGTGCTACAACTACTGAAGCCCGTGTGCTACAACTACTGAAGCCCGCATGCCTAGAGCCTGGGCTCCGCAATAAGAGAAGCCACCACCACGAGAAGCCCGCGCACCACAATGAAGAGTAGCTCCTGCTCGCCGCAACTAGAGAAAGCCCACGCACAACAACAAAGACCCATCACAGTCAAAAATAAATAAATAAAATTATTAAAAAAAAAACAAAACTAGATACAGTTTTTAGTTTTGCCTCAGTACAAAACATTGTGTCATTAGAGAATACATTAATATACCTGCCATTTAGTTTATTAACTCTTCAGTTAATCTGGATTTGCCATATCATGCTAATGCATTCATTTCAATCATAGTTTTGCCACTCTAGTTTTTTTCAGATTTGTAGTAATTTTATAAATCTCAGCATGACAGTGCTTTTGATTAGGTGTCTCGATATCCTCCCACCCTCTCTCCCCTCCTCTCATCTCCCCCACCCCTCTTGAGAAAGAGAGACAGACACAAAGAGACCGAGTGTGATACCTTCCTGAGCATACCATGCATGTAAACTCAGCTTGTTGAAATTCTGTTATCCCTGCAGATGTGCTGTAGGTTAATTTTATGCAGTGATTTTCAGACAACTAAAAATTGGTTTGTAAGTTAACTTCAGAAACCACTTAAGCTCAGTTCCTAGATTGTTCATAGACCATTGTATTGCCTTGGGCAAAATGTGAGCTAAAACATACTGTAAAAGATTTTGAGGACTCTGGGAGGTTCCTATGGTAAGGATAGTAGATGCTTTTCGTTGGCATCTAATTTTGCTCCATAATTTGTGAATGGCTCCATTTGTGGGGGGAAAGATAAAAAATTCACTGTAGGTTTTTCTCAGAAAAAAAAAAATATGTCTGGATTTGTAAGCTTCTTTAGAAAGAAAATTGTATCTATAATTGCAAAGTACATTTGTTGTTCGCTGTTACCTACTTATTGTCATTAAAACTCACATCTATTTTTTGAAAAGTGACCAGCCTGAAGGATATATTGGAATAATCACTAGAATATTTAAAGTAATCCAAGGTCAAGACTTGAGGAGTTTATCATTTCTCAGTATATGATGGTTTAGTTGCTGCATATGTCAGCAGCAGATTTTGTAACTTACAGAAATTCTTTACCCTTTGCTAAAGGCTGCTTTTCAAATGAGTGTGATTAAATGGTTGATTTTTTTTTCTAAAAGATGTCAGTTTTAGGGTGAGACCATTTTGATAATCCAGATTCAGATGCATTATCCATTGTGCCACTGGCTGACTCATCTTTTCCTATTGAAACCATTGAAGTTGGCAGGGTATAGGTAGCATTGTGACATCTTACAGGTGAAGAATGTGATGTCAAGAGCCTGAAGGATTTGAAAATGTGCAGTTCATGGCAAGAGATTTAAAAATTCACATTTTCCTTTACCATAGTTTATGCTAGAATTGTAAAGACTGACCATTTATGAGGGAAAAATTATTAGAAAACTATGTCTTGAAGTAAAAATCTTGAATCTTGATGATTCAAATACTATTTTTGCAAATAAAACAATTTTGATGCACTACTTTAATGTTCATCCATTTGTCTGTCCATATCCCCTTTCCCCCAAGTTGGGTACTAATTGGTCACATGCCTAGGGTTTTCCTTGATACCACAGCAGCATCTAAGCTGGAAAAGTGGTTCTTCAGGAATGGAATCTGGAATCCAGGGAATGATTTCAGACACAGGTAGTTCCTAATTTACAAGTAATTCATACATGTAAACCCCTTCCCTGAGCTGCTCTTTCAGTTGCTGCTATTTGGAGTATAGAATTTGAGCTTTTAAAGAACTTCTGGGGTTCAAAAGTAAGTAGAAGCAGAAATAAGTGAAAAGCAAAAATATTTGGTGGCAATAAATAAAGAGTCAAATCCATATTATGACCTACTTGAATAAAAATGTTTTTCCTCAAACTATCTCAGTAGTTTTTTTGTTTTTTGTTTTGTTTTGTTTTTTTATTTTGCGGTACGCGGGCCTCTCACTGTTGTGGCCTCTCCTGTTGCGGAGCACAGGCTGCGGATGTGCAGGCTCAGCGGCCATGGCTCACGGGCTCAGCTGCTCCGCGGCATGTGGGATCTTCCCGGACCGGGTCACGAACTCGTGTCCCCTGCATCGGCAGGCGGGCTCTCAACCACTGCGCCACCAGGGAAGCCCCTCTCAGTAGTTTTTAACATTATTTTGCAACACTGTTAGAATTCTACCATTTAGGGGTTTATTTGGGCTAACTAGCTAGCATCCTTGTTGAAAACTGCAAATATTAAAGTGAATTATTTCAGCCCTGTTGATTTCTTCCTATCACATACCTGAAATGAACTACACTGAGGCAGTAGGAGCTTTGGGTGGTAATTCAGGAACATACTTAGGGGAAAGCGTTGTTATTAGCAGGATGATTGGAATGTCATAATGTAAAACTTAGGGAATTACAGGCATCAGGAGTTTGAGAGAGTGCTAACAAAGGAAAACAACCTATTTCAGAATTTGTCCGGATAAAGAGAGGATCTAGAATTGGTTAAGTTTCTGTGTTTCTTCTGCAGGGTCCCCAGTGCCCATGGCTGGTGTAATTATCTTTTGGGTTCAATAGATGTCTTTTGGCTAGTCTGGGAACTTGGCCAACATAAGCAACATTGTTTCATTAGGAATAATACTTACTTCCACAGCATCAATTTGAAAAATAGATTTTTAGACCAGACTCATTTATAAGTTAGGTTTCAGCCTGTGCTTGTCTTTGTCTTGTCTGTCATCATGTGCTCTCACTTGACAATAGCTACCAGGTTGCTTTTCTTTCCCACCAGTCATGGAATTTGCTGGCCAATCATAAAATAGCAGTGGAAGTAGTAAGTAGGAAGTAAAGTGAAAGAATTACAATAAGTACAAGAAGCCACTTTGAGAGCAAAGGAGGGCTTGTGGGCTTAGGGGAACAGTTGGTGAGCAGTGTCTCAGAACTTAATTTACCAGTAACATTGGTAGATTGACGTGATCATCCCTATAGAGTAAGTTTCATGACCTCTGATAGTAAGCCGTGGTGAAAAGTGAATTCACATTTACTGATTTGTGAATTGATGTAGATTACAAAATGTAGATGTTTTTTATTCAGATAAAATTACATAGAATAGTGTAATATTGACAGTTTATTTCATCCCTAGAAATGTGTGAAATTTTTGTTGGTAGTAGTCAGATTTTAAAACTGTTTTTCTCCCTGACAATTAAATATTTTATATTTTATATATAATTGCTTTTCATTAATGGAAATTATTTTCAAGTAAGCTTAAATAAATGTGAGGAAATGAATTTGCAGTAATTTTATCTCTATGTTTTGGGGATTGTATTTACATTAGATGTTCCTCAATTAGGGGTAATTGTCTTGCATCCTTATCTCTTATCATCATCTGTTTTTCTTCACACAGTGTTATAGTTTTGCTGCTGGACTCTTCCCTCCCTTCCCCCACCCCATCAGGATGATATGAGACTTGAAAGAAGACGATGCATACAGGTGACTCAAAGTTTTGAAATACAGTAAAACTGTGGCTGTCTGAGAGAATGTGGGAACTGGTGGTATATTTTGAATGTGGGAGCTTTCTGATAAACAGCATTAGTGGGGAGAATTATTTAGATCAATAAATGCAAAGATAGTTGGGATATTTATTAAACTTGACTTTGGGAATCAGTTTGATAATCAGTGACAGATAGTGTTATTAATACAAATACAGCATAGTGATTGCTAGTACTTGACCTTTTCAGAAGGGGTGTTGGCTAATACTTTGGCGAGAATTGAAGTATTTCTGTTAAAAATAAATAAAATATTCACCTTTATGGTTGAATGCATGTTCCCCCAGATCCCTGTTAGAAGAGAGCAAATTTTTTAAAGGCATAGGGAGTAGATGTTAGTAGTGTGTCTTAAGTCTCTGATAATTCATTTAAGGATATTATACCCATATGTATGATTCCTTAAAAAATATGGTCTGAGATTTTGTTTTTTCTTTCCTGCCTCTCCATCCCTTCCTTCATTCCTCTCTTTCTTTCTTCCTTTTCTCCTTCCCTTTTATCCTTTTGTCATTTGTATTTATACAAAAGAAGCAGTATAGAAGGCATTTTTGAAAGAATATTTTTGATTGCTTTATAATTAATTGAGGTGATCTTAACTTATACACGGAAAAATGGAGGCTTGTTCCATCTGTGGCTGTGTTTGAGCTCTTGAAAATGTAGTGTAGCTAATGGATGAAGTGTTAACTTTTAAACTTGAATGTTCTTAAATCAGGCCGATTAGGAGGTATTTTGTTGAACCAAGTGGCTTATATTTGCAGACCTGGTCAGAGATAGTCTTATTTGATTTATAAACTGTTTAAAAGAGTGATCTTTAACTGGAAAAGAAGTAACCACATAAACCTTGGATAGATGCTTAATCACATTGTTGGTGAAGGTGTTAAGGATTTTGTGATTGCTTTTTATCTGGGTGACCTTTGTTTTCTAAAAAGAAAACAATTACTGTTTTTTGACTTCAGCTTGGGATTTTAAAAATAATGTCTCAGGTGTGCCATTTTGTATGAAGAAATGTGCTTGAATATATATTAAATTTAATTATAGATCAAATCACATTTTACATTCATGAGGGACTCGAATCTGATGATAATTCTTTTTTGAGTAAAAGGTGTTTGAGTAATTATCTCTGTAATCTGTCTCTCGGGTACACATGTATATTTGCCTGTACATATTAGAGGTACACCATGTACACATTCTGGCTGAGTGGCTGACAAAAGCAACATCATGCTGAGGCTGAATGTCAGTGTCATAGAGGAATAAATATGAATAGTTACAGAAAAAATTATAGAATTTTATGAAAATTTTGTTGTCAGATTTTATACGTTTGACCTTTTGGTGCAGGAACAGTTGCTCAGCACTGTCAGCTCCCGGATTGCTCCTTGGGCACTATACTGCACATTGGCTATACCAAGTAGATGCTCACTTTCGCCTGAGGTCAGTAGAGGAACAAAGTATTTTGGGGGTATCTCATAGACTTATCCATGAATATTAATGATTTTGGAGATTTTCCCTTAAGTTGCTATTTCATTTCTAGTTTACCTTCATAAGATATGAAGAGTTTCTAAATAACTCTTTTTCTTGAAAGGCTTATGGACGAAATGAAATATCTAAAGAGTAAATCCAGTTTTTAAAGGTTATCTAGTTAATTTTATGAATGCTAGAACACACAAAAAATTTACAAATACTAGATTTATGATATAATCTAGTCTCTTACTCAGCCTCATAGTCTTTAAAAATTACCAACATTTACTGGCTTTTAAAGGAAAAAAACTCAAGAAGAAAGATCTGACTCTCTCTAATATACATATTAGCTGTTGGCGTATTTCCCTTTCAACAGTTTGAAAGTTAATAATTGTTTTTGAATGTAAAATTAACAGCTTTCACAATCATCATTAATTAATGAAGTTTGCTCTTGTTTTACTATGCACACATTTATTCTTCAACGGATAGAATTTTAACACATAAAAGCTCGTAAGGAGTTTTTTCATTGAAAGTTATTTCTAGAATGCTTTTGTCTACTTGAAAGTGAATATTGTTTCCCCAGGCATTCATGGTCCTGACTTTATGTTGGTTAGCTGAGATGATACCTTACTCTCTCATACCATTTCATTTTAGGTGCAGGTTCAGGGATGCTAGAAAGGACATTGAAGTATGCTTTGACTGACTGTCTTTCAAAAGCCACAGGTTAATAGTCGATTTTTACTGAACAGCAAACCAAAGTTAAACTTCAATATATATCTCTGGTACGTGTGTATATAGGTGTTCCTGTACTTAACTTAATTTGAGGGTATTTTTGCATATTTTAAAATATAGTTAGAATGTAAATTAGGTAAAATTAGATTATTTTTTGATTTTTGGAAAAAAATCATTTATGACCAAACATTTTATTTGGCTAACATTTGCTTTGTGCCAGGTACTGTAATAGTGTTCTGCTCGTAAGGATCCCTGTACTTAGAATCAAGGAGCACGTAGGAGCACATTTCAATTGGAAGAGGGGGCAGATATATAACAAATTTTGCAGTGGATGTTTATGATAAATCTTAAACACTTGTCTGTTGAATTCAAGCCATCTAGAGTAAAAACAGAAAGCACTCTCTGGTTAATAGCATTTGCAGTAATGGCTTCACCTGATAACCTTCATGCCGATGTTGTCAAAACCTACCTTTGTGTCCCACTCTTCTCTTCTGAGCTCCAGACTCATGTAACTGCCTCCTACATGTCTCTCCTGCACACACTCCCTCCTCTCCTATTTATCCCTGTTAGCGATGAGTGACACAGTTCTACCCAAGCACACTGTCATCTTGGGAACCTAGGAGCTACTTTTTACCGCTTTGAATTAAGTGATAACCAAATTCAGTTTATTTAGAATGTAGAAATCACTTAGGAGGATAAATTTGGAAAATGCACTGCCTCAGAGATCACTGTGGACATTAACATAAAGGCGTTTGCATTTTTCCAGTTGATTTGATAAAAGGACCTCACCTTCCTTTTATTTCTTATTTATACCTGTTAACATCCAAGGGAACATTAATGGGAAAAGCTGTTGGATACAGCAGTTGATACTGTTCTTTATTTGTTGAGCTTCTTTAACAACTGAAATTGTTTTTTAACAATAGTGATAGGCTAGTCGTTTTAAAACTTGAAATAGTTCTAGAACATACAGAACTGAAACTATTTGAGGATGAATAACATTGGAAATTTATTTATTTTGAAAATCAATTCTTTTTTAATATAAATTTATTTATTTTTGGCTGCGTTGGGTTTTTGTTGCTGTGCGCGGGGTTTCTCTAGTTGCGGCGAGCGGGGGCTACTCTTTGTTGCGGTGTGTGGGCTTCTCATTGTGGTGGCTTCTCTTGTTGCAGAGCACGGGCTCTAGGTGCGTGGGCTTCAGCAGTTGTGGCACGTGGGATCAGTAGTTTTGGCTCTTGGGCTGTAGAGTGCAGTCTCAGTAGTTGTGGGCTTAGTTGCTCCACAGCATGTGGGATCTTCCCGGACCAGGGCTCAAACCTATGTGTCCTGCATTGGCAGGTGGATTCTTAACAACTACGCCACCAGGGAAGTTCTGGAAATTTATTTTAAATTCCGCTCATTTGTTCATATTGTCTGCCATATTTCTATGAATTTTAAGTGCTTAAAACCATTTGATGTGGCAGAGTTTTAATTTTAGATTAAAATGTGAGTTTTGTAGGGCAAAGTTTATATACCTCAGTGGTCACAAGAGTATGGCATACTATTACAGAACAATTAGAAATCAGATCTGTATATTTAAATAAAACCAACTTCTGTAATTCCATTCATGTAGAGGGTGCACTGGGGGGAATAAGAGGATATGCACATTTTGATATTTGGGAGCGTATTGCCCATTTTCTTCCTTTTGGACTTGTTCTTCACGTGGTCCTGCGTATCTGGTCTTTTTCTGTAAGTGTGTTCCCTCCTTTAGCTGTCTTTCATTTCTTAACCCTGAGCGGTCTGATTTTGTGCTTAATAATTCAATGAATTGATGGGTTTTGGTGAATGGTAAATCTAGTGGATTTATTTTTGCTCTCAGATTTTAATTTTTTCTCCCAAGAAAAAATTGGTAAATACTTGTATTTACCAAGTAATACAGCATCAGTGAAAAAGTTTGGAAATTGATAAGAATATAGGTAAGTGGAAGGAAACATACCCAGAGCTCTACTGCCCATTGCACTATGGCCCTTTCCCTTCTAGTGTTTTGTTTGCAATGCCATTTTTGATTAATTCATATCATCTGAATATCTGTTCAGGTTGGTGTGCTTGGGTAGAATCTATTTTTTTTTTTTTTTTTGCTGTATGCGGGCCTCTCACTGCTATGGCCTCTCCCGCTGCGGAGCACAGGCTCCAGACATGCAGGCTCAGCGGCCATGGGTCACGGGCCCAGCTGCTCCGCGGCATGTGGGATCCTCCCGGACCGGGGCACGAGCCCGCGTCCCCTGCATCGGCAGGCGGACTCCCAACCACTGCGCCACCAGGGAAGCCCAGAATCTATTTTTATGTTGTTTATATTTTCTCTTTTATTGCCTAGCATTATATTGTGAACATTTCCCTGTGTCATCAGAAACTTACTAACTGTAGTGATCTGCTGTTCCTTTGAACTTGGAGCAAATTCAGAGCATTCAGAGCTATAACTTTTTGCAGGTGAATTATTTTAGAAATTTATTTTAAAGTATGCTGAGTTGAAACCATTTCTTTGTATGCTCATTTCCTAGTTAAGTTAGGTTTCTCTCTTATTAGACATTTAAAAAAAATTTTTCCTTTTCACTTTTTTTTAAAGTACTGACATCTGTGCATGAGTGTTGGGTTGTATGTTAAATTATTTCCTTGTAATTTATTCCTGTGAGCGTAAGTATTAGGTCATAGGGCTTGGAAAATTTAAAGGCCCTTCATACAGCCTTTTAGAAAGGTGTTTGGTAATATGTACCAGTTTATACTCAC